CAATCCTTATTTACCAGTTAATTAGATGGAAGGTATCTTCAGAAAATTGCACACCTGTTATAACGATTCGGGTTTAATCGCAGGTCCTGAAGTTGAAATCAAGGGTTTCAGCTGCTCACCTAGTTCAAGGAATCGTGTATTTTCTTCAAGATAATTCAAGGTAGGTTTGTGACTGTGTCAGCTATATCTCAAGTTATATGCAAGCCCAAAGAATGGAAGAGTAACTTCAAACATTCAGAAAAACCACGTAGGTGCAGAGGAGGTGTGAAGGCCGTGTGCTTATAAACTCGGACTTCAGATCTTTAAGTATGGATTCTATTAGCTTTACTTTGACTCCGTTCACCCAGGGGCCGGTTGCTCGAAGCCTGGTTAGCGCTAACCGTTAGTTAAGAGGTATAAAAATGTATAGGTTTCCATGGTATTTAACGCTGTTTAGCACTAACCATGCTTCGAGCAACCCGGGCCAGGTGTATAAATTAGTACCGGTGCCCTTTACTGCTGGGAGTAACCGTGTGATGGACTGACATCCTACAGCGATCCTATCCAGAAAGGAACTAGCAATAATAGAGACCTTTAGATTCCAAGACGCGAAACGACTACTGTAGTACGAATCTAGAGCGCGAGCGTGAACCAGCGTCATTTTGGCGGGAAAAGGTGATAACCGTCGTCATTCTACCAGGAGTTTTAGTGAGAGTATCAACTCGTAGTAGCAGACACAAGTTATCAAACGTAAGAGGTTTTATCATTTTGCGATCGGGAGAGGGCTTAACCTCCTTCAATAAAGATGAAAGTACTTTTCTGGTGAACAAGTACCATGAAGCTTTCCAGGGTATCTATATTTTGAGAATACGCGGAAAAACGGTAGTCAAATCTTGTATTGGTAGTCGTTTTCGTCCTCGAATCTAAAGGTCTCTATTCCCAGTTGCTTCATTCCACAAAAACTACAGAAACTGAGTCAAGTTCCAGCCCTGTGGACCTCATAGCTCCTGTGCGCCTTCAGGGGACGACCATTTGACTTTTGAGGGGGGGGGGGGGGGGGGGGGGGGGNCTTACCCAAACCAAATCCCCCTTACCGCCCCCCACCCCCGTCAAAAGTTATATGGTCGGCCCCTTATAGTTAGAGCTTCGAGAATTGTTTAAGTGTTATTATTGTTATATTATTTGGAAGAGGACTTCTAACTCCAGAACTCCAGGTGAGAAACGAACTCACGACCCTCCTGGTTCTAGTTCGGACGCTCTAACCACTGAGCTACTAGAGGCTCCATTATTATAACTGCACTACTGTTAGCCTGCGAACAGCAGACGCATTTCCGGTCGTCGCTTCTCTCCCTCGGAGGGAGAGAAGCGACGACCGGAAATGCGTCTGCTGTTCGCAGGCTACACTACTGTTTGATAACTTTTTTGTTTGTCTGTTTTTGTTTCTTTTTTGGACGGATCATGTGTTCTCGTAATGAAATTTCCCTGGTCCCTTCCGTTTGGGTTTGGAATTTTCCAATTTTTTTTTCTAGAACTTGAGACCAAATGTGAGGTACATAAGCATTTTTGTCCTTGCTCACAAAAATTCTCAAAAACTTGTACCTCTTAACAAATCTTTTTTAACAGGGCTTCGAGAAGGGCATTCCAACAGGTGATTGAAACGGCAGACGACGGAGCCTGTTCAGCGGTAGCTCAGTACTGGCTTCTCTTACTGCATCTAAAGAAAAATGATCTGGCCGCTTCCCAGGTAGACTACCAACACACAGTTCTTTTTATGAATTCTTTTGGTACTCTTTCTCCATTATATAACAAATTAGCAAAATTGATCGTATGTTGTGGTCTTCATCTGTTTCTTTTCTTTTCTTTTCTTTTTTCACCTTTTAGGACCTTTTGTGGAAAGCAAAGTGCGATGGAAATAGCAGGCTGGATTTGTTTTATTATGCGTTTGCAGAAAATGGCAAAGTATCCCCAGTGATGAGAAAGCGTCTAATCGAGAAATGCATCCATGTCTATCCGTCAGAACAATTTTATCGGGATTTATTAAACAAGATATGCTAATGAGTGTAATTGTTAAAAAGTGAAAACGTCGCTAGGAATGTCGATTGTGAAGCTTGAAACAAGATTCTCACTTCGGCCTGAATATCAAACTTCAAATCAAACTCAATACAACCAGAGTATGCAAACTTGTTATGCTCTTTAGGTATGTGAAAGTGGGTAAAAAATGGGAACGAAAAGTTATAAACTGTATTACATTTTTACAGTTCTAGAATTTACGAATTCAGTCATCGAGTTTTGAATCATAAAAAAGTGTTTGAAAAAATAGAAAGAAAAATAACCTTAGAGAAGTTTTCAGGTAGGCTTAAAGCCTTTATTAAAATTTTTACGCGGTGTGAAGTAGTTTGTTGGCTTGTTTGGTAACAAAATTATTGGAAGTTCTCCCTAAAGTTTTTATTCATCCTTTTACCAGGGTCTAGTGTCCCTCGCAGCCGTTTTTGTCTCGTCACGCAACGCGCCTCCCCAACAAGCGGCTGCTCACATTCGAACCACATTTCTTTCCAGATTTGAGCCAATGAAAGCTATGGTTCTATTTTCTGGAACTATTTCGCGCCAAATAATCCTTTCACATGCTGTCCAATCATAGCCTCTTTTCTATCAAAAACGGCTGCAAGGCAGACTAACCAGGGCCGAGTGGCATAAAGCATCCTAAGGTCCCTTTGTCCCGGGTAGAGGGGTCACACTTTTCACACTATATTATTAACAATAGACTACGAGCAGTCTCTCTTTTTTCTTGGTCCGTCGAGCAAAACGCCCGAGACGCGCGTGACTGAAGGCGCGAGACGGGAGAGGCTCTTTTTTCTTCTTGGGCTGCCGCCCTCGTTTCTCGTGTCTCGCTCAACGCTCGCGCGCGCGTGCCCTCCCCTTACTAAATCTGAAGAAAAAGAGAGACTGCTTGCAGTCTATATTAACAATTAACATTTACATAAAGTCCATTTCCGCCCGCAAATAGCAGGTGCTAGTCGCCTAACACTCGCTTAACCGAGCTACCCTGAAATAGCCAACTTTTCCTACATTTGCTTATAAAACGTAGCAAACCGTTTACATAAAAAAAGAAAAAGTTGGCGCGGTTAGAAGGGTGACCCGCCCAGCTGGGTCACCCTTTCTTGATGGTAGGGTCACCCCCATAGCAGGGCCAACTTTCCTCCATATAAACACTTTGGCTCGCCCAGCTGGCTCAACTCGGTCAATGCGAGGCAATCAGAGCATGCGCGAGCGCTGCTGGCTCGGGCAAAGGGTCAATTTTTTTCTCGTAGAAACACTCTCCCGGGACAATTTTTCTTTATATAAACAAGGCCTAAGGCAACGGGAATTCTTACTTATTGTTTCAAAACAATAGGTTATTGTTCCGGTCTCAGGGCCGTAGCCAGACTTGGCATAGACTAAGCTTGCATTGTAATAATGTGATCGCCGAAGGCGCGAGCCGCTAGCGGGTCCGGGGACAAGCAAGAAATCTAGAAGTTCTGAAACGCTATTTTCAGCATTCTGGTAAGGTATTTCTTTAGAAAAATCGCTCAACTTGGGATTATATTTCCAACTAAACGTCACGGTTTTCTATTTTAATTTTTCGTTTGTAGACGAGGCAAGTGTCCTTTCTTCCGCAGCCGTTTACGAAAGTGGTTAAATCACCTTTATTCTAGCCTGCTTAAACAGCCATCTCACGGCCTTGCTCCTCGCCACTAGCTAGGGACATTTCGCCAGGAGAAAGGCGCAGACGTCTCTCCTGGCGAAACGTCCGAGGCGAGGAGTGAGGAGAGACGGCTGTTTTAGCAGGTTTCCTTTATTGCTTCTTGTAATCATTCCTTCCTTACATTCACACATGAACTTGGTATTAGAATCCTAGTATCCCTGTGTTGGCTACGGTCGCTAAAAGAGGTTTGGTGATCGGTGATAATCGTAACCTGTCTGCAGCCGCCTCCTCCCCTCAAACAAAATAGGGGAGGGAGACGTCTGCGTAGCACCGCCAATTTTCCTTTTTTTTTTGTCTTGTTTTTCTTTAAGGGTAGGAGGAGGTCGTACACAGGCTATGATAATCGTAGCGAACCTTAAAATAGAACTTTAGACGTCCATCTCAGCAAGTTTGGACCATCCGCTTAAATTTACAAAACTGTTTAAAGTCCCTTATTTTTTACCGTAAGATCGCGGCTTTTAACAGTTGAAACCAGGCCGGGTTGTGACCTTTGTTTCAAATGTACCAAGTGGGTACCGTAGGCGTTGGGAAGGGAGGCACAACGCTCTTCGCCCCTAGTCAGGAGCTCCTGCGCATGCCTAGCAGCTTTGTCCCCAGGGTTTTTTCCAGGCAACGGTCGGGGCCGTCGACATACCGTAAATAGTGAATTTACGCAACAGGACGGCAGGAAGAAGAGGACTGTAATGCTCGTGTGTGACAAACGTGACGGGGTTATTACTTACGTGTTTGTCGTTATCCTTACTTAACATTTTATGTTTTCTGGTCTTTTACGAAAAGATCAGTTTAAAGGAAAGCGAAGTTTGGCGAAAAGATATTTCAAAACCAAATTATTGTCACGCTTGTCACACAAGGTTTGCCGTCTTCTTACCTCTCCCGTCCTGTTGCGTAAGTTCACTAATAACCTAATAAACGCCCCGGGGAATCTATCCAATTTTAGCGGTCCAAGCAGCTGTGTTTATAGATAGGACAGGAGGCCTGGTTACAGAAAATGCACACTCTAGCCGGCTCCTCGGTTGATTTAATGACCATGTAATCATTTCGCTTGAAACTTTGGAAGCGAAGGTCAGTGGTGTAACTCAGTTCTCGCAAAAGTTAATCTCTCTTAGAACTCTATTTCTAAGAGAAGAGTGTCGTTGCAAAAATCCTTTTTTGCTTTCACTTTCAAGTATCAAGTCTATCAGCACTATCAGCGCAGGCATAACGCAGGCATATATAGTAAGTAGGTGTCCTGTGCTCCTAATTGCAATGAACTCTGGGTAAAAAGGATTTCATCAGAAACATGGCGTCGATGGATCGGCAGAAATTAGTGGAGGACAAGAAGCAAGAACTTCTTCGTCGAATTGCAGAGAAAAAGAAAAACAGTCAAACCACTCAACCACCGTTACCTTCATCTTATGGCGGAGCTACACAGATCATTCAAAATGATAATCCCGCTCCAAGTGGTCCGAAAATGTTTGTAAACGATGGAAATTTCTTAGCTCGCTTTCAAGCGATGCAACAGCAGCAGAAAACACAGGAAGCTAGCTCGAGTTCGACGGCAACAACAGCAGCAGCTAGTAGCTCCGACTGGCGTCCGACAGTTAGCATGAAGCTAACCACAGTTAAAAAATCAACACCTGCAAAACCGGCAAGACCGGACGTCTTCGAAACGCCAGAAGAAATCGAAGAAAATGGTAATTTGAAATATTTGAAGCTTCGTTCTCTCTTAGCTTGGTATCTTAAAGGTCTTGATTGCAGCCATACCTTTGTGTTTGGTGTAGTTTTGATCTCGTTAAATGCTTGAAAATGTTCTGATGAGCGGTATAATTAAGTTCCCCCACCAGAAGATCAAGCCATACTTGATGCTATTGAGGTACTGGCAGCCCGAGTGGTAAGAGGTGGAGACCAAGTTGAACGTTCCGCCATTCAAGACAACGTTAACAACCCACATTATAGGTAAGTTTTAGTGGAGCAGTACCCATTCAGTCGTTCTGATGTCTAGCCAAAACATCCATTTATCTCAGTTTGTTAAAAGTGATTTGAGCAACAGCCATTTTCTTTTAAGAACTTTGAATAATAACACATTTTAATTCTTAATTCGTTAGTCCTCTCCTTCCAAACCTGCCAACTTTTGGTAAACCCAACTTTTCCTACGTCAAATGCGTGTGATTTCCGTCTCTTGATTTCTTGGGTTTTCTTAAAAAAATCTAACATTCTGAATGGTGCTTAAGACGTTCCAGTGACTTCCAAACATCACCAAAGATTCCCAAAGATTTCCAGAGAATGCCAAATGTGGCAGTACAAAGCGCCAAATCTTGGCACCACCTTACCAAGATCACGCATATCCATTCTTGGCGAGATTACAGAGGCAAGGTATCAGGAGATCTTGCTGAGATCCCTCATGCCTTGGCAAGAAAACCTTTTTGGTCAATTTTCAAGTTAATGGTTATGGAACGTCTGAAATTGTCTTGTATGCATGTGATTGGTGTTTTTGATCCACAGGCATGTGACACAGGTGTAATGCACGTGAGATGGCAGTATATTCTACTCCCCTTGACTAAATTAGACAGGAAATTTTCATTCTTGGTGAATGCATGCTTGTCACACAATAGACAAATAAAAAATTGCTTCTAAGAACAATTAAACAAGTAGATCCCATTTTACCATGCGTCTGTTTAGTAATAGATCACAGATGATGTCAAAATGTGGTAAAAACCAAGAAGCACACAAGCCGCAGGCACATTATTAATTCTGCATTATACTTAAGTGATTACACTAGTGTGTTTACAATTTCCTACACCTAATTTAATAGACATTAATAAATCCTGAGCTACATGTACTGTTATGGCCATTGTATGATGTCGTATTTGTAGTATAAGTTAGTGTGGTTAGGAGATCTCAAAGTAGCTTGAGAGCCTATAGTTTGATCTAGGTCTCCTCATAAACATTTTAAAATGTTTTAATATTATTCAAAAATAACAATCTTAACTAGAGAAATTGCACAATTTCCCAGTGATGAAACTTTTTTTACAGTTTGCATAGCGTGTTTTGTGACATCTGGAAAATCATGTGTAATTATATTTTCCTAATACCTGAGACTATCATTCCACTTCACAGATTCCTTTTTGACGTAAACAGCCAAGATCACAAATACTACAGAAACCTTGTTAAAAACTTACGACCAGGAGTTAGTAATGCAGCTAGCAGTGGAGAAAGGAAGAGAAAAAGAAAGAGCCGTTGGGATACAGATGCACCCAAAGGGGCTTCATCATCATCATCATCTGATAATGATGCAGCAGTCGCTGCAGCCTTAGCAGTTGCAGCAGAGATTGAGCACAGCATTCCAATGAGTAACAGAGAAGAAGAAGAAAGACAAAAACAAATTAGAGAACAGCAAGAGGTACTTATCAAATCAATATGAAACTTTAATATATTGCATTCCCAATTCCAATACCAGCTTCTGGTCTGGAAAGTGTGAACTTTCTGTAACCTAACTTCCTGCCCATTAATTTGTTTTTTGTTTTGCACTCATCAATATTGTTCATGTTAAACCTATGTTACAGTATTTTGAGTACTGTTAAATTGTTATTGAGGGCTACCATATTGGGACTCTGTTTCATAAAACTTTCTACTTCATTCCCATTTGTTGACCTATGCTATCTATTTGAGTTTTCAAGTTTTGCTCTAACAATCTTTTTTGACTTGTCAAGTTGCTATACTCTCAAAATATATTTTCCTTCTTCCCTGTTAGTTCCACAGCTTCTGGTCACCCCTCTCTCTGTGCTCTGCTCCTGCATTCCGTTTATTGATACCTTTGTTACTGTGTTCCTGGGCCCATGTTTTCAGAACTTATTCCTTATGTATTTGTTTCATGATATGCTGTGCTAATATATCTTGCTAAAATAATATTGTTGCAAGGACAGCACTGTCTATATTATAAAATTTATAATATAGACAGTAACACAAATAGTACAATCACTCTGATTGCCTGGATGACTTGAATGAGAGAATGCAATACAATAAGTATTGTGTTGTCAAGAATTTTTGCTGTGCCTGCTTATCACATGAGCATGCTTTTACAAAAATTTATGCTGAAAACTAGAGAAGTTTTTCTCATTCACCCTTTTCCTCAACTGCTAAAACTTGAATAATCTTTACAAACAGACTGTATGAAAATTTTTTGCTCAAGTTGACAGTTTAAGCAGGAAAATTTGATGAAATCTTTCTTGCAAAACAAGAAGTGGTCAAGTGTAAAAAATCTTCATGTATAGCACTTAAATAGTGAAAAGTAAGAATTTCTCTTTTAATCAGTACCAGTAACAAGGAATTTTGCTTCTGTCTAGTCAGAAAAGTTATTTTATAAAAGCAATAGAAAACGTTTTTTCCTGTGTTTGTAGGGCCTAATATAAACACCCCAGGGACTGGGAGAATTATCTGCTGCTATGCAAACTCTCAACTTCGTCTCAGGTTTGCATAACTGTCTCAAATTTTCCCAACACCCTCTCCTCTCTATGTAATTACAAAAAAAGTTTTTTCGCTGAACTTAGTATAAAACTTAAAATTCTGTTGTAGATTCAACAAATGTACATGAAGATCTTAGCTCAGCGAGCGGCATATCAGGCCGGTGGTGCAGTAAAACAAGATAATGATAAGCCAAAGTATGAGTATGATTCAGATGAAGATACTGAAGGTGGCACATGGGAGCACAAAAAAAGAAAAAAAGAGATGTTAAAAACACTAGGTTTGCTGAGTGATACTAATAAATAATTAAAGGATGCAAGGAAAAAAGCCTTGAGGGACTTTTGATCAGCTTCCAGATTCTCCTTCTAAAATAAATGTCTTGTACAGTATTTGCTTGGACAAGAAAAGGGGATTTTAGGATTATGCCAAAAGTCGGTTAGGGCCTTATTCCTCACACCCCTTATAAATATATTTATGCAGAGTGTGAAAACATCTAGTGCAGTAAAAAGTTCATTGGTCCACCCTTGTGGTGGGTTTGTTTTAATGATTGATGTTGTGGTTCAGTTTTATCCTTGGTTTAAATTTTTTTGCCATTTGTATTAAATCATAATCACACATTACGATACCCAAAAACAAAGGGAAATAAAATTTAAACCAAGGATAAAATTGGACCACAACATAGATACCAAGCTCGTTGACATTTCTCCAGTCAACAGGGGTGGGGGTTTTACTTGGGTAAGATGTGAGTTTATGAAAAAGCTAGGTTGCTGAGTCAGATTTTGGTTTTTCAGACTTTTCCTTGTGTCTGGGTTGTATATAATGTTAAAAAAAAACCCTTTGCTACCCTCTGTAAAGAAAGTGTTGAGAGTAAGCGATGCTTATTAATCAAGGTTAGAAGACTAACAGATTTATGTTTTAATTCGTTTTCTCCCCTTTTTTTATAGATAAAGCTCAAGAGCTTACTGTGAAAGGCAAAGGAAAGCACCACATAGGAGATTTCCTTCCTGCTGATGAACTAAAAAAATTCACAGCCAAAGTCAAAGCTGTGAAGGGTGAATCTTCCCTGGATAACTATGATTTCTCCGACTATGCTGAACACAAGATCAAGGAAGATAACATTGGATATAAGATGTTGCAGCAAGCTGGCTGGAAAGAGGGAATGGGGCTTGGATCACAGGGACAAGGAATAACTGCCCCTGTTAACAAGTATGTTGGTAATTCATGGCTTTATCCAGATAACCCTACCAGTGGAACCTTTCTTTTGTTTACTCAATTTTGGCACACTTGAGAAAGACGCTCCACGAATCAAGTTAGATCTTTGTTGAGCTTGTGCGGCACGTTGCTAGGATACTGTTTCTAACCAAGGCCTAATTAGCCAAGCGCTTGGCACAGCAGACTCAGTTACAGTATGACCATCGGTTAATTAATTAAAGGATGCTTGCACTTGAATAAATCAGTTTGACGGCAGGGAACAAAATTGACTAGTCCAGAAGTTTGAGCTTCAGTGACCTCAAAGGTTTGATGCGATTCAGGTAGAACCTCCTTTTCTCCTCCTCACTCAACAAGACAAAAAGAGGGTGTGCTTGTGGGGTGTAGCCAGATGAAAATTCTTACTGTACAATATCAGAAAAAAACAAAAAAGCATTTTCATTGTCTTGCTGTCTTAGGCATAAAATTATCGCAGTAGGCACGCACAAGAAATTAGCCATTTTATGGGTAAACTGTCTTGGTTGCCCCTAAACTGGCTATGGTTGTTTAAATAATTTATGACTTATTTTAATTACAGGAGTCTTGTTTTATAATGCTATGTGTAGTAAATTCCAGCTTTACAGACACTCCACTAATTACAAATGCTCTGTTATTCTGCTTAAAGCATTTAACCATAATGAAGGACCCAAAAAACAAGTAGTGAATTCCATTTCCCGGAGACCCTCAAAGAGGCTTAAGGAAAAACACAGCTCCCTTTTTCCCTTGAAGCCAGTTATCAAGTGTTATACCTCCCAACTTAAGAATAAAGCAATTTTGTCTTTTGGTCATAACTGTGAGAAAAATATTTGTTTGGGGCAAATGGCAGATTTCCCAGTTTCAAGGTACATACATGTAAGCATTATCACATGCAAGTCTAAAGTTCCTGAGAGAGTTGATTGTTTTGACACATGGCGCCTGACGCATTCTCTTCCAACTGGAAAATGTGCATTAGTTAAAAGGTACAACAATAAGGACGTGTTTACAAGAAGGAAGGTTACCTTAGCACCCGCACATTCCTACTATTTTATACAACATATTTTTAAGGCAGGTAACCTTACCTGAGTGCTGGGGTTGTCCAAGCCAGAGGGTTACCCTACCTACCTTGTCAACACTCTGTTAGGGATAAAAAGCCTTTGCAGGACAACTTTGCTCCATCATGTGTGACCAGTAATATTGAAAATTTGAACAGAGTTATCCAATTTTTGAGCTAAATTTCAAACATTGCTTAATGTGCCATCATTTTGATGAGTTTGTACAACTGTAGAAGCACATTGAAACATTTTGATAGACAAATCTATTGTAATTTATTATAATTTGTTTGTGACCTTTAGGGGGCGATCAGCTGATGAGCTTGGTGGTCTTGGAGAAGAAAAGCCTGGTGAAATACAAAGGGAAGATGACGAGTTTGACTTATACCGCAAGAGAATGATGCTAGCTTACAGATTCCGTCCTAATCCATTGGTAAGATCAATCTCTTTCCTTACTTGTTCACATCTGCTCGCCCTGCAAGTATGACCAAGGTGTTACCCCGAGTTCTTTGCGTTTTCATTTTTACGTAAAAGATCCACTGAGCAGTGGGTAAAAGAACAAGAAATAGAAAGCAAGCACGTAAAGTCTTGAGGGTCAAATCAGAAATCCAAGGCAAACTCATTTAGTTTGCTTCCTTCAACTCCTGATTAGATATTGATTGCCGGGAGTTTTGGGGTGGGGCGGGGGGGGGGGGGTTCAAGAATTTTTGGGGTGGGGGGGGGGGGGGGGGGGGGGGGGGGGGGGGGGGTTCAAGAATTTTTGGAGATCTCCAACGACTTTTCCGATTATCTTATTTCTTCATTACCCACCATTCTCTTTATACTCTCAATGCTTAAGGTAGATCTGTTTCTTTCTCTCTGCAGAACAATCCTCGAAGGCCTTATTACTAGAGCACGAAACACTCCTCAAAATTTCAGTACGAACGTTTTTTTGTCGTAACTTTACTTCATGGTCCCACTGCATCATTGGAGATCTGAAACCCTCGTCATATCCTAGACCGTGTTTTCCTTCTTTCATGTGACCTCGTTACCATCCCCATCCCTACCTTAGAAACGAAAAGGAAACTAGGTCGAGTTCACCGTCGCAAAGACGTCTGGGAGTGTTACTAGGCACAGGAAAAAATTGGCCAATAGCTGACCAGCACGTCCTCTGTAGCGATCCCAGGAACAATTGGGGGCGCATTTCGGCTGCAGTTCCCTTCGCGTTTCTAAAGTGGCGTATTCCAGGTTAAGGGTGTGTGTGTTTGGGAGAATCCAAGATTACATTCTTGATTACAGATTCGTTGCATTCATTACGACGAAAGAAACTAAAATCCGAAAATGGATTCTTCAGTGTGACAGCAATAGTGAGTTTACACAACAGGACGGCAAAACAGTTGTGTGCGACAAACGTCACAGGGTTTTTACTTGCAAGTTTTGTCGTGACCTTCACTTAACATTAAAGGAAAGTGAAGTTTGGCGAAAAGTTGTTTTGAAACAAAATTATTGTCACGCTTGGCACTCATGGTTGGCCGGCTTCGTTCGTCTCTCGTTCTGTTGCGTAAGTTCACTAATATTGGCGCCAAACGGCGACAACTTAGCGGGCATCATAATCAACAAAACTAAGATAAAGCTTCAAGTACGTGAATCAGAAAAATATCCTTTTTATACCTAAAGAACCGTTCAACAAGAAAACCGCTTGCCCAGGTTACTTTTGGATCCTTGCCCATCCTCGAAGGTCTTGGGGCGGCCTAGTAGTTCCTCTAGGCACAGGCGGACCATCCAAACTGTTGGAGGTATCGTGATATCACGCGCGACATGTGATCCCATGCATTTACTGTAAAGCATACGGTAAGTTATCTTTATTCATTTTTCTTACATTATATCAACATTTGGGGTCAAAAGGTGCAAAATTGTGTGTTTTGTGAAGCATTTCTACCGATCAGGTGAATGAAGCCGAGTGCGGGTGTTATGAACTTCATAACGTATGAAACAGTAAATGTATGGGATCACATGTCGCGCGTGACATCACGATGCCTCCAACAGTTCGGATGGTCCACCTGTGCTCTTGGGCATCGAAGATGATCCGGGTGTAAATATGAACGAATCGAAGGAATCTATTCAGAGTTTGGATTTCCATTTTCGGATTGTAGTAAAGAAAAGCGAAATCCGTTTTTGATCCAAGAATCTGGAATGGGTTTTCCCAAAGAAACACATCATATAATCATACGGCAGGTCAGTTCCCCGATATAATAATAATGATACTCTTTTCTAGATCAAACCTCTTGGACTGGTTGTAAAAAGAAAGTTTAGCCCGCAGTGTTAAGCAAAGCTGCGTTCTAAAACATTTTCAATAATAGAATCTAAGAATTTTTTCTGTCAACACTGTTAAAAAGACGTATAGCTCAGACTGAAAAAAAGCCCATTTATTTACCGGCAGTTCAAATATCCCACTTATAGAAGAATCTCGGATCCAGTGATCGTGTAAAACCACAGTCTAAGTTAGACGTCGTTTAAATGATCGGCCTTTTCTACTTCATGATAAATGCCAGAGTCACCAACTTAAAAATAAAATGAACATACCCAAGAAGTGGCCTCCTTTACATCTATAGTTGGATCGAAATGGCAGTCTCCTGGCTCGGCCCCAGTTGTTCGAAAGGTGGATAATGCTATCCACCGGATAAATCACTATCCACTGGATTGCGTAATTGGTCTCCTTAACATTGATCCTCTTGATACCTTAAAACAACCGGGACCTGGTTGTCTTTCTGAGTTTCCCATCTCCTACCCCCACATCCTTATTATTTTTGCAAGAGATAATTTGTTTAGTTTTCTTTTTCCAAAAGTTGGCTAATGTATCCTTAAACAGTTTATGTATCGTTATGCAAATGTAACTTATATAGGTTTTTGAGCTTTGATGACGCGCCATTTAAACAGTCAGTAGAGCTCTTTAAATTCTAAGAGGAGGGCGATTACTAGGCTCAGTCTCCAGCCTTGGGTGTCTTAATGCGTTCGCGGTTCTCCCCACCCAACGGGTCGGGTGGGGAGTAACGCGGGCTGGAGACTGAGCCTAGGCGACTACGACAATGAGATTTTCTCACTACTACGTTGTGCGCGTGCGTGAACCAGCGTCTCTTTAATTTGACGGGAAAACGCGATAGCCGTTGTTATTCTATTACGAGTTTTAGTGAAATGTCGTAGGGGCAGAAATAAGTTATTAACATGTTAGAAGTTTTATTATTTGTCGATCGGAAAACGGCTTAACCCCCGTCGATAAAAATACCTGTATTAACTCTTGTCTCTTTTTGAGAATGCGCGTTAAAAACTTATGTCAAATTCCGTCCTCGTAGTGATCTTAATAATAATATAAGGTTCAGTTTAAGATGCCCACCCACCCCTCCCCCAAGCCAACGTTAACCTTTATTTCGTACTTAGAGCAAAATGTTGGGTTTGGTGAGGGGTAGGTGGGTGGGCAATCTCCTAGAATATTGTGCCCATGGTTTTTTTATGCGCTTGTGATTATCATGTTGGGTTATTGCCAAATTGTTTTATGGCACCACGTTCCCTTCTATTAACTTCTATTCCACTTCTGAATACCAACAGTACCCTAAACTTAATAATAGTGGATATGCAAAAAAAAATAAATTAAAAAATTGTCACCGTTGAAAGTTTATTTGCAAGAAAATTATTGGTTAGTTATATTCCACTGTTTGTGGTTTGGTTTGCTCCAATAACTATTCTTATTCCGACGGACATCCAAATAAAAGATAGAATAACATCATTTCCGATAAAAATTTCCTTCGTTCTCTTCTCCTCTCCTTTCTGTTTTTTAATCCTTTCAGTTCAGCCCTAATTGATGCCTGTGTGCGTTTTGATGCCCTTATTTCGGCCTTACCTCATAACTTGATACTGAATCTGTAATGTATATCCCTACGTGAGACAAAAGGCATTTTCCAGCCGGGGGCGGGGAGAGGGTCAGTGCTTCCCCGCCTTATGGTTATCCCGTTATACTAACAACCCCTCGGTATTACGATTACGTTTCTTTTGCCCGAACGTGAAAACACCGTTTCGTCATTACGAATAATCACCTAAAATTCTTGGTCTATTGGTGTTACATTATTAGTATTATTATTAGTATTCAAGATTTTTCCTGATCCGGGTCTACATAAGCTAAGATCAGGCACTCCTCACTGGTTTCCAGCTGTAGTTAAGTGACTCCAAGGTACACCAGCCGCGCCGCGGGAGCTAACAAATGCCCGGGGGTGTGAGAACACTTGAAATTGTTAGGAGCCATAACAGTTTAGCCAAATTCCGCATCCCCGCGGTTATTACATGCAGGTACCGTTGATAGCTCCAGATACTCGATCACTGTAAGTTTGGGCTCCTGATGTAAGGTGATTCTTACAGACTAATCCGTGACCCACTCCTTAACTTACAGAACCAACTTCTGAACTCTGCGTATATATCGCCAGACAGGATAGCGCCTCAACATTACAAGCAACAACAATCCAGTAACGAGACACACAGAATAACTAAGAAGGGATTCGAGTTGGTTGACCATCATTTAACATTTTATGAAGAATATACAACGTCTGGAAATAGGGTGAGAACAGAACCCGCACAGAGCAAGAAAAAGCGAAGCGAGCCGAGCAGTAGCCCTTTCCCATCCCTAGTCCACCACTCGGCTTGCTTCAATCGCTGTTTTTTTTTTTTTTTTTTAATTATTATTTTTATCTTTTGCTGTTTCACCCCCTTTTTTGCCTTTTTCCCCCACCGCGGAGCCTGGTGCCAGGCTAACCGCTGACCTACTACCTCACAAAAATTTGCCACTTATCACCATGGCTGCCGACATTTTCCGACAAGCCATTGTCGTCACAACAGATGCCTGCACCCAATGTAAAGCGAAAGAAGCGTGTGTTTGACCATACCATCGGCTTTCTATAGAGGCGATCACTTGTCAAGCCTTGTGTCTTGTGGCCCCATTTATTTTTTTTAGGGGACCCCCATTGGTGACAATTGACAGCCAGAGATGAGTTGTCATCTGGAAGGCGCCAAAAAGAACCACAAGCTTGAGGTAAATCGTTGGAAGTTGTAAAAAAACTTCACCACGTCATTTCCTTTGGAATCGTTGCTAGTCATGATGTGAAACACACGGCCAACCGACTTCTTAAAACAGTAAAACCGGATCTGACTGAAGCCCATGTCCTGTTTAAGCTGATTAAAGCCGCTTCGTAGTAAGTAATGCTCGTTGATAGTGTACTTGGGAAGGATTTGTCTGTAGGAGTTCAATTGAACTAGAAGAGAAGGGTTTCCCTCTATGTACTGAGTAATAAGTAGCCATCCACCTAAGTAAAAAAAATAAGAAGTAAATTGATGGAATGATAGAAAATATGGAAACATGAAAAATATGGTTTCCGCAACATCGAGAAGGAACCCTTGTTATCATAGTATTTTAGACAGGCTTATAGGGGAATCCTTGTTTACATTTTCTTGGCCCATTAACGTATGCTGATCATTATTTCATAAAGCTATTGAAATAAAGCCCTGAATATAGAAAGAGCATAAACTTAAAGTTATGTCTAAAAATTATAGTTCGATGTGGCTTTCGGAGACAAACTGGAAACTTTACATCAGAACACGCGATACAGTCATGCGTCTCTAGTCAGCGGATGTTCTTTTCTGACAGCTGTCAATTGACCATAACATGGATGTCCAATTGATGTCCAATATATCGTGTTAAGCACAGACATAATACGGAACCCTGTGATCGTCCTTTCAGACTGTAAAGTGTAAGAAATACAGTGAGCTGCGACGGGGCAAAGCACATTTTGCTCAAGGGACAAGAATTTTACGATTAGTTGACCAAACTTTCCTTCAGAGTGATTTGAACTTACCTCCATCAGTAACCATGTCACAATACACTCTAAAGGGGTCCCCTGAGGCTGTTGGGTCAATCCAGCACTCACCATCCCCCTGAGCGTCACCACTTTCCAAAATGTCTTTACAGGAAGTTCCTGGCACCAAAGCCTTAGAACCTTTCTTTGCTGCGACAAAACAATGATCAAATTTAAAACGAATCGGCTGAACAACATGAGATAGTACACTGTTGCGTTCAGTGACAATAGACGGTCAACGTCGCTTTGGATCTTGAGCGTCGTGTACCATTTGAAGGGAAAAAAAACGCTCCTAAAGAAATGTTTCCAGTGATACTGCTTGATTACACGTAAAGAAGAATGAGTTGTACCATTTGAGATGTTATTCACAAAATAATAAGGACATCTCGAAAACAGACCAAAACTGAACTGCTGAGCCCTGGGGGGGAGAGTACCGCCATATATAGGCTATATGGGTATGTGCCGCAGTGAAGGGTATGGTTTTCATGCAGTTTACTCTAGGATAGGGTATATAAAATCAGAACATATATTTGGGTCTAGAATAGGGTATCATTTTTCAGGAAACTGATTGGTTGGTTGAAGATTTTATCTAGACTAGGAAAACAGATACTCTAGGATAGGGGGGGATTTGGGGAGTTTACTCTAGTATAGGGTAGCAAAACTTAGCTGAACTAGCTCTGGTATAGGTTAAGGGTTCCAGGGTCCCAGCGGCACATCCCCACCCAGGAATTCCTAAAGTACCTCCCCCGGGCTGCTGAGGCGCCGGAGTAAGTGTATCTGATTTTTTTTCCAATTTATATCCGTTGAAATGCCGGCCCAGGCTTGCAGCCAGTCGTAAAGGCTATGAGAGCTTTATTTAGAATCCGAGTTATATTCGGTATACATGTTGTTGGACTACGATTCACACTAGAATCTTGACTTGCGTGAAGTGTTCTTTAACAGATTGCAAAGTAATTAGACTGAATTATTCACTGACAAAGGTAATTCCCTTGAATGGGATGTACTATGCAGATTTTCTTCAAATTTGGCACTGAATTGTCAGCCATATAAAGGCATTCAAAACCTGCAATAAAAAGATGTGGTCACCGTGCTTGTTTTTCGCCCTGTGTGCCCGTAGTTCTGAGTGTTTTTTCCTAGCTGCGCTCCAAATGCGGAAACTTGAACGACCGACAAAAATTCTCATCATATATTGAAAATTAAGAATTTTATTAAAACCTAGAGCCCGTTTGTTTATCGGTAGCTCTAAATGCCGAGTTTGGCGTCATTCATATCTAACTTGAAAAACACAACTTCTACTGCCCAGATCTTTTTCTCCTTAATATGTATTTTTTTGTGTAGCCATGACGAGTAAAAACCACAAATAAAAATGGGGCTCACCGTCCTCGTTTCATCGCAAAACGACAACAAGGGACAATTCGGGCTTCAAATGATCGTTTTGCGCAATGAGACAGGGGCAAGTTTCAAGACAAACTTAGAATCTTCAAAATCGCTATTAAAAGTATTGGGACTGCAAACGGGGCCTTAGTTACCTCTTTTTTGGCCACAAGTGAAAATCACCACCACCTTTGAAGTCAGTTATGCGCACTAAGTAAAGCGCAGTTCAAATCAAGGGAATTACCTCAAAGAAAGTTTTAACCACTGCCGCAGTTCGTAGCAAAGTTTTCGGGTTTTTTTTATCACTTTCCCGGTTAAAACTAGCTCTAGTGGCTCTTCATTATACAAGACACATCATACCTCGGAAAGAATTTTCCATGTACGTAGCAGCTGAATTTTCCACAAAATCTGCTGGTCTTGATCTCTTTGTTTCGTTCTTCATTTTACATTCTTTACTGTTCCAGAGAAACGTTATGCTTTGGCATATTTCCTCAATACTACACTTAAAAAAGCAGCGACCAAAATTGTCAGCGTGGAAGGATTTATAGTCATGACCAATTAACGCAAAACCAAATTCTTCTCTGTTATCACGACAAGCACCATTACGGGGCTCATCGGTAGAAACAGCTGCTGCGGGGTGGACCAAGAATAACAGCACGGCAAAAAAGACACCATCCATCCTGGTTAAAAAAAAAAAAAAACGTTACTTGAAGAGTTCTCTTTTAAAAATTGTTTAGACCATGCTGCTTGGATTGAAGATAGGCAAAACTAAGCACTGAAGAGCAGTAAAATTGACCAGGAACGGTAGCTAACAGTGTTCCTGTTTCTCAATCACATGCAAGAAAGCCAAGTGCAAATTCCTCTTTTTTCAGTGAAAAATGCTCAAAAACAGGCCATGTGAATCGTATTGCCAAAGGCGGAGGTTTTACTGCAATGGTCACATCATAGGATTTCCTCTACAGCCTCAAAAAGCTGGGAACTACAAACTAAATAAATAGCACGATGTGAAAGTACTACTGAAGAGGTTTCATTTGAATAGTCTCACCATAGCATAGTCATCCACATACTCATAAGTAAATAATAAACAGTACTACTTTAAATTAGTTGAATGTGAAAGTACCGACAACGAGGTCTTTTATTTCAATGTTCATACCATAGGATTTTCTCTGCACACTTAAATGTCCACTGAAAGTTAAAAACACCCTGCAAGACCTCCACACCTACTCCGGGGGTGATATGGTTATGCATGATCCCCCCAGGGCATAACCCAGGGAATTTGCATTTATTTATTTCTTGGTGGTCTTCCAATCTTTTCAAACGGTATATAAAAACGCCCAACAGAAAGAAATATACTCACTCAATTTTGTTATTCTTTGTCTTATAGTCCTGTCTCCAAACAATTTCATAGACAAAAACAGGTTTTGTCAATATATGCAGTGCATTTTTTTTTTAAAAAAGTGCTCATCCATTAATCGAAATATAGTTGTTATTAAATCGTTTGTCTTCATTTTTGGTGTAAATGTCCAAAGAGAGCACATTGCTATTACTTACCTATAATCAATTGTCTTCTTAATTCTCCTTCTGCATCAGCTTCTCTTCAAAAGCTAAACGTCGTCTAAATCGGTGCCAAACCAAGAATGAAACTTCACTTTATCAGTTATGTTGTCTTGATTTGATCCATACTTGGCCTGGGGTTTGCATGTAAAATTGCGTTTTCCTGGCAACAGCAGCAAATTGATACAAAGCCTGTTCAGTTTAATAATTTTCTACGATAACATTCGACACTTCGGTTCCACTTAAAGCCGGACGTGGATCGGACACCGAGGGCACACACAGCACACGGAGCACGGAATGTTCTCAATAAATTATGCACTCATTTGCCTTATAAGGAAAGAAACAGTTCTCTGCGAACTTTAACAATCTTTAACAACAATCTTTATTTTTACTTGTACTCACCCTTGCTCAACAATAAATTACAACAATGAAAATATTAAAAGTAAAAATTAGAGTACCAGCTGCCTGGTATAACCACGGGGGCTAGAGAAGCCAGGCAGCCAGTTGACATCAGCATTCAATAAAATTAAATTACAGGTCAGCAAGTAAACTGAAGCACCAATACACACATAGACAGAAAAAGAAAAAAAAAGAGAGAAGAGGAAAAACCCTATTTCCACGCTATGAAATCGAAGGAAGTCTTAAATAGTTAAATTTATAAATGAATTCAAAACATTGATATAAGAAGAACTTGAAAAGGTGACAGAATTTAACAAAAGACTAATTTACAGGTAATTTGGGAAACAACACAACTGCTAATAAGAATACAAGTAACTAATAATCTTTGAGAAGATCGCTTTTTACTGATTCCTTGAAGTTTGAAATAGAGCAGGTTTTCAAATTTTTTACTAATTGAGATCCATACTTTAATTTGGGGGCCCTTACACTGTAAATCTTATGTTGAGTATTCCATAATTTGTTCTTACTTTAGGTAAAGTATAGAATATATTCGAGGCACTTCTTGTATTATAGTTGTGTCTTTTATTAACTTGTGTGAAGAAAGAATCAAACGCAGCTGGTAGACGTGTATTGTGAAATTTAAACATAAAGAATGCGATATTAAGAAAGACACGGTCAGGCAGTTTAACAATATTTAAGCGTTTGAAAATTGGACTCGAATGCTCATGAAATTTAGAGAAAGTCATCACTCGCGTTGCTCTCTTTTGTAGTTGAAGAATAGGTGTTAATCCAAGAAATTAAACCATAGGTTAAGAAGGGATATATTAAGGCATAATATAGTTCAACCAGAATATCTGAATTCACATAATAACGAAGTTTAGAAAGAATCCCGATATTTCGCTTAATCTTTTTAGCAATATAGCTTACTTGACCTTTCCAAGATAAATTAGAATCTATCATAATACCTAGATATTTTATTGAGTACTGTTGGTTGAGTACTCTGTGTGCATGTTACGTTATCACTTAATCACGGTCACATTTCAAAATGACATCTGATAGCTCTCAGTTGATTAACCCTTACTTTCAAAACGAGGCTAAGTGCTAAACTTTTCTTGTGAAAATGAGTTTTATTTCGCAGTGTCTTTCTCCTTGATTACCCACTATTCTCTTTATATTCTCGATGCAAAAGATAGATCTGTTTCTTTCTCTCTGCATAACAATCCTCGAAGGCCTTATTACTAGAGCACGAACAACTCCTCAGAATTTCAATATGAACGTTTTTTTTGGTGGTAATTTTACTTCATGATGCTACTTCATCGTTGGAGATCTGAAACCCTTATCATATCCTAGACCGTGTTTCCCTGTTTTCACATGACCTCGTTACCATTCCCATTCGCTACTTTAGAAACGGGAAGGAAACTGGGTCGAGTTAACTTTCGCAGAGACTTGTGGGAGTGTTACTAGCGACAGGGAAAAAAATTGGCCAATAGCTGAGCAGCACGTCCTTAGTAACGATCCCAGGAACAATTGGGGGCGCATTTCGGCTGCAGTTCCCTTCTCGTTTCTAAGGTGGCGTATTCCAGGCTAAGGGTGTGGTTGTTTGGGAGAATCCAAGATTACATTCTTGATTACAGATTCGTTGGATTCATTACGACGAAAGAAACTAAAATACGAAAATGGATTCTTCAGTGTGACAGCAATAGTGAGTTTACGCAACGGGACGGCAGGAAGAAGAGGACGGCAAAACGCTCGTGTGTGACAAACGTGACAGGGTTATTACTTGCGAGTTTTGTCGTGATCTTCACTTAACATTAGTGTCTTCTGGCTTTTACAAAAAGATCCGTTTAAAGGAAAGTGAAGTTTGGCGAAAAGTTTTTTTGAAACAAAATTATTGTCACGCTTGGCACCCAAGGTTTGCCGTCTTTGTTCGTCTCCCGTACTGTTGCGTAAGTTCACTAATATATTAGTGAGTTTACGCAACAGGACGGCAGGAAGAAGAGGACGGCAAACCAGCTGTGTGTGACAAACGTGACAGGGCTATCACTTGTGGGTTTTGTCGTGATCTTCACTTAACACCAAGGTTTTCTGGTCCTTCACAAAAAGATCTGTTTAAAGAAAAGTGAAGTTTGGCGAAAAGTTGTTTCAAACAAAATTATTGTCACGCTTGTCACACAAGGTTTGCCGTCTTCTTTCCTCTCCCGTCCTGTTGCGTAAGTTCACTATTGGCGCCAAACGGCGACAACTTGGCCAGCATCATAATCAACAAAACTAAGATCAAGCTTCAACTACGTGAATCAGAAAAATATCCTTTTTAAACCTAAAGAACAGTTCAACAAGAAAACCGCTTGACCAGGTTACTTTTGGATCTTTGCCCATCCTCGAAGGTCTTGGGGCGGCCCAGTAGTTCCTTTAGGCACAGGCGGACCATCCAAACTGTTCGAGGCATCGTGATATCACGCGCGACATGCGATCCCATACATTTACTGTAAAACGTACGGTAAGTTATCTTTATTCATTTTCTTACATTATATCAACATTTGGGATCAAAAGGTGCAAAATTGTGTGTTTTGTGAAGCATTTCTACCGATCACTTAAATGAAGCCGAGTGCGGGCGTTATGAACTTCATAACGTATGATACAGTAAATGTATGGAATCACATATCGCGAATGACATCACGATGCCTCCAACAGTTCGGATGGTCCGCCTGTGCTCTTGGGCACTGAGGATGATCCGGGTGTAAATATAACCGAATCGAAGGAATCTATTCGGAGTGTTGATTTTAATTTTAGGATTGTAGTAAAGAAAAGCGAAATCCGTTTTTGATCCAAGAATCTGGAATGGGTTTTTCTAAAAAAAAACATCGTATAATCATACGGCAGGTCAGTTCCCCGATATAATAATAACGATACTCTTTTCTAGATCAAACTTCTTTGGACCGGTTGTAAAAAGAAAGTTTAGCCCGCAGTGTTAAGCAAAGCTACGTTCTAAAACATTTTCAATAATAGAATCTAAGAATTTTTTCTGTCAATACTGTTAAAAAGACGTATAGTTTAGACTGAAAAAAAGCCCATTTATTTCCCGGTACTTCAAATATCCAACTTATAGAAGAATCTCGGATCCAGTGATCGTGTAAAACCACAGTCTAAGTAAGACGTCGTTTAAATGATCGGCCTTTTCTACTTCCATGATCAACTCCAGAGTAACCAACTTAAAAATAAAATAAACATTCCCAAGTAGCGGCCTCCTTTACAACTATAGTTGGGTCGAAATGGGAGACTCTTGGCCCGGCCCCAGTTGTTCGAAAGGTGGATAATGCTATCCACTCGATAAATAACCATCCAATGGGTAGCGTAATTGGTTTCCTTAATATTTATCTGCTGGATGAACAACTTTTGAACAACCCGGACCTGGTTGTCTTTCTGAGTTACCCATCTCCTACCCTATCATTTTTGCAAGAGATAATTTGTTTAGTTTTCTTTTTCCAAAAGTTGGCTAATGTATCCTTAAACAGTTTGTGTATCGTTATGCAAATGTAACTTATATAGGTTTTTGAGTTTTAATGGCGCACCATTTCAACTGTCAGTAGAGTTCTTTAAATTCTAAGAGGAGGGCGATTACTAGGCTCAGTCTCCAGCCTTGGGTGTCTTGATGCGCCCGCGGTACTCCCCACGCAACGGGTCGGGTGGGGGGCAACTACGAGAATGAGATTTTCTCACTACTACGAT